GCAAGAAAATCCCTAGAACATATACAAACTCATGGAGATGGAACAACAAATGATGAATGAGTCCTTGAAGAAATCAAGGAAATAAAAAATTACTTAGAATCAAATGAAAATGAAAACACAAGAGGATAAAACCTATGGGATACAATAAAAACAGCCCTAAGAGGGTGGTTTATAGTCCTAAGTGCCTACCTTAGGAAATTAGAGCAATCTCAAACAAGCAACTTAATGATATACCGTAGGGTCTTGGAAAAAGAAGAACTAGTCAAAACCCAAATCAGCAGATGGAAATTATTAAGATCAGTGCAGAAATTAATGAAATGGAAACAAACAAAAGAAACCAATGGAAAAAAAGTTGGTTCTTTGAAAAGATAAAATTGACAAACCCTTAGCAAACTAACCTAAAGAAGAGAAGACCCAAATAATAAAATTAGAGATGAAAGGGAAGCTATTACAATAGACACCAATGAAATTCAGAAAATCGTTAGGTCTTACCTTAAAAACATATATTCCACTAAATTGGAAAACTCAAAGAAATGAATTTCTAGATGCATATGACCTACTAAGAAAGTCTAGACCCAGATTAATTTATGGGTGAACTTTACAAGATATTCAAAGAAGAATTAATGTCAATGTTTCTCAAACTAGTCCATAAAATACAAAAGGAAGGGATATTACTAAACTCTTTCTATGAAGCAAATATTACCCTGATACCAAAATCAGATAAAGGGGCTAGTAAGATTGCTCAGTGGGTAAAGGCTCCTGCTATCTGACCTAATGACCTGAGTTCAATCCAGGGGACCCACACGGTGGAAGGCGAGAACTCACTTCTTCTAGTTGTCCTCTGACCTCCATATGTGTAATGTGGCATGTGTGCACCCATCCACCCACCCACATAAGTAAATAAATTTAAATAAAAAAATTAAAAAGTAGATAAAGATGAAACAAAAAAATTTCAGTCCAATTTCCCTGATAGAACTTAGATACAAAAATTCTTAGCAAAATACTTGCAAACTGAATTCAAGATACAAAAATTCTTAGCAAAATACTTGCAAACTGAATTCAAGAATACATCAAAAAGATCATTCACCTTGATCAAATTCACTTATTACAAAGATACAGGGCTGGTTCAATATATACCAATCAATAAATGTTAAAAATTTCATAAATGGGGGCTGGAGAGATGGCTCAGTGGTTAAGAGCACTGGCTGCTCTTGCAGAGGATCCAGGTTAGATTCTCAACACTCACATGGCAGCTAACAACCATTTGTAACTCCAGTTCCAAGGGATCTAATACCTTCTTCTGACCTCCATGGGCATTGCAAAACATGGGTACACTTAACATACATGTAGGCAATACACTCATACATAAAATATAAATAAATATTTAAAAAATCTCATAGATTCAAATACTGAAATCACATGGTTATCTCAAGAAAAGGCTTTTGACAAAACCCAACACCCCTTTATGTTAAAAGTCCTGAAGAAGCCGGGTGTGGTGGCACAGGCCTTTAATTCCGGCACTTGGGAGGCAGAGGCAGGCAGATCTCTATGAGTTCAAGGCCAGACTGGTCTACATAGTGAGTTCCAGGACAGCTGGGGCTACAGGGGGACGCTGTCTCAAAAAGACCAAAAACAAAACAAAAAACAGTCCTGAAGAAGCTAGAGATAGAAGGAGCATATCTCAGCATGATTAATGTTGTGTATGCCAAACCTATGGTGAGCATTGTTTCAGATGGGGAAAAATTAAAACCATTTCCATTAAAATCAGGAACAAGACAAGGGTGTCCACTTTCTTTATTCTTTTTTTGGTCTTTTTGAGACAGGGTCTCCCTGTAGCCCCAGCTGGCCCAACTCACTATGTAGACCAGGGTGGTCTTGAACTCACAGAGATCCACCTGCCTCTGCCTCCTGAGTGCTGGGATTAAAGGTGTTTGCCACCACACCTGGTCAATTTCTCCATTCTTAGCTACAGCAATAGACAAGAAGATAAAAGGGATTCAAATAGGAAAGGAAGAGGTGGAAGTATCTTCACTGCAGATGATATGATTCTATAGTAAAAGGCCCTGAAGACTCCACCAGAAAACTCTTAGAACTGATAAACACTTTCAGCAATATTGGAAGCATACAAAATCAACACACAGAAACAGCAGCCTTACTGTATTTCAATGACAAACATGATGAGAGCACAGTCAGGAAACAGCTCTATTCACAATGGCCTCAAAAATGTACCTTGAATTAAAATTAACCAAGGTCATGGAAGGCCTCTACAATGAAAACTGTAAAACATCAAAGAAAGAAAATGAGGAAGACACTAGAACGTGGAAAGACCTCCAGGCTCATGAATTGGAAGGATTAGTTTTGTGAAAACAGCCATCCTATAAAGCACTTTATGGATATTTTATGCTTGTTTACCTATCATCAGATGATGGGCATTTGAGTGCTTTCATTTTTTTTTTTGGCCTTTTTTGAGACAGGGTCTCCCTGTAGCCCCAGCTGGCCTGGAACTCATTATGTAGACCAAGCTGGCCTGGAACTCACAGAGACCCGCCTGCCTTTGTCTCCCAAGTGCTGGGATTAAAGGTGTGTGCTACCACACCCAGCTAAGTGCTTTCATTTTTGAACTCTTGTGAACATGAGTGACATAACTTTGAGCCCATTTAAATGGCTAGAATGAAGACAGGCAATATCAAAGATTGAAGGATTTTATTCAAGGAAATGTTCCTGATAGGAGTGTAAATTTATTTAAGCATGTTGGATGACAACTTGCCATTATCTTACGAAATTCAACATTCACATCAAGACCCAGAAATTTCATTCTCAGGGATAGAGCCAACAGAAACTTTGGTATATAGGCATCAAGAAGCACATCTAAGAATGTTAACAGCAATGCTATTCCTAATAGCCCAAAACTTGAATCACTTGTGAATATCAATAGCCATTTACTTCTGGAATTTTGTTACACAGGGAAGGAAACAGAGCCATAGATGAGTTTGTACCTTTTTAAAAATAAGAATGGAGAAAAATAGTATGCTTGTATGCTGAACCATTGATTTGATGGAAATGGAAAATACAGAAAGAATTCCTGGACAACCTGCTTTGTCAGGCCTGTCTTCCACTACTGGAGGGTGCTTTACAAACCCACCAGTTTTGGGTTTTATTTCTCTTTTAAAAAATCATTTTTATGTGTATGAGTGTTTTGCCTGCATGTATCTAAAGTGCATCTGTGTCATGCAATGCCCCCAGAGGCCAGAAGAGGGCGTTGGATCCTCTGGAACTGGAGTTACATATGGCTGTTAGCTACTGGGAACTGAACCCAGGTTCTTTGCAAGAGCAGTTAGTGCTCTTAACCACTGAGCTATCTCTCCAGTCCCTTATCTTTTATTTGCCTTTCATAAACTGCTGTGTCAAATAGAACATAAAAACTGAATTACTCAGTGGATATTTGTTTTACCTTTTTATTCCTCCCATAGAGAATTTAATCAGTCCACTTTCCACATTATCATAGAAATCAGACCCATATTTCCTCATTCATACATTATACAGAGGTCAAAATGGATGAACTCTGGTTCCACACAACATGGATGACTTTTAGTAAAAAAAATGTTGAATTAAAAAATGAAGACATCAGCCAGGTGTGGTGTGCCACCACACCTTTAGTCCCAGCACTGGGGAGGCAGAGGCGGGCAGATCTTTGTGAGATCAAGGCCAGCCTGGTCTACAAGCTGGGTTCCAGGCCAACTGGGGGGCTACAAGCAGAAGCTGACTCAAAAAAGACCCCTCCCCCAGAAAAAGACATGTAGTATTGTGATTTTAAATAATGATTAAATCTAAGCAAAATTAACCAATGTAGCCGGCATGGTGGCGCACACCTTTAGTTCCAGCACTTGGGGGACAGAGGCAGGCGGATCTTTGTGAGCCTGGTCTAACATAATGAGTTCCAGGCCAGCTGAGGCTGCAGAGAGACCCTGTCTAAAAAAAAAAAAAACTCCCTTTGAGTAGTGGTACAATAGATATTTGATAATTTGTGCAAGTACAATCAGGATGATTGCCTTGGGATGAAGACACAAGAAAGCCAGCACTCAGATCTAATTTGCTGCCCATCTTTAGTCACTTTCTTAAACTTTAGGGTGATTCGTAATCCATTGGCAAGTTCCGGAAAGCTTAATTATTAGACCGAATTTCCAGTTTCTGACTCAATAGGTGGAGAATGGACCTAAGAATATGGTTTTCTAACAAGGTTCTAGGTGTGCCTAATGCTGCTGTTTTGGGGACCATCCTTTGAGAACCACTTCCAGTACTTAGGTTGTGTGTGGGTTTACAGGCACTCCACCTCATTTTAGGAAGTGCATATATACACTATTTATGTTAAATGGGGGTGGAAAGGTCAGCTGTGGATGAAAGTATGTTGAGCCAAGGGTTAATATGAAGCCAGTTCTGGATTCCTTCCCCTAAAAACTAGGATTTCTTACTAAAATCCCTGTTCTAGAAGCACCTCAGACCATTTTAGAAGAAAATTGTAACTATTTTTGAGAAACAAACCCGAAAGTTAATTTTTTCCTTATACAGTGAACAGTAATAACACTCCATTCCACTTCCCAGGATCTTAGTAACCTTTGGCAGGCAACAACCTGGGAATTCTGAAACTTGCCCTTCGATTCAGTGAAAATATTTAGATACAAGATTTTTTTTTCCCCAGCGCTTATCCTTCCCTTAAGTGCTTTAGAAAATTATCTTCCTTCCTTTCAGATTTAGATTCTGAGATAAAATTTAGGTGATTTTTCAGACGCGAACAAGAGTTTATGACGAGCTTGTATTTGTGTCCTACAACCTGCCAGCTAATGACAGTTGTGAAAAACAAAACCCGAGCAGCTCAGCCTAGAACCGAAACAGACACGGAACCCCAACACCTCTCCACTCTGGACTCCCGGGGACCAGCTGGGCAGGAAGCCCGCGGAGGGAGGTGCTGTGGGCGGGGCGCCAGGGGCCGGTGCCCGCGCCCGTCCTTCATTGGCTCTCTGGCCGGAAGCTGCGGCGCCGTCCCGCTGCGCATGCGCGCCCCGCACGTGCTCCCAGAAGGTCGCCTCCAGCGCTGCGCCGGCTCGCACTATGCCTGCGCTGTGGGCTCTGCGGCTGCTGGCGCGCTCCGGGGCAGGCCGCTGTTTCCGGGAGGCCCTCTGCTTTCGCCGCTATGGTTCCTACTCTCCGTGCGCCGGCGTTGACGCTCCGGACTTGCGCGCCTACTTCACCACACCCATTTTCTATGTGAACGCCGCGCCACACATCGGGCACCTGTACTCGGCGCTGCTCGCGGACGCCCTGTGCCGCCACCGTCGCCTGCGGGTTCCCGGCTCCGCCTCCACGCGCTTCTCTACCGGCACAGATGAGCACGGCCTGAAGATCCAGCAGGCGGCAGCCAGTGCTGGCCTGGCTCCGATCGAGCTGTGCGATCAGGTCTCCGCCCAGTTCCAGCAGCTTTTTCGTGAGGCTGGCATCTCCTCCACCGACTTCATCCGTACCACCGAGGCCCGGCACCGGCTGGCGGTGCAGCACTTCTGGGGGGTGCTGGAGGCCCGGGGTCTGCTCTACAAAGGACTCTATGAAGGATGGTATTGCGCCTCCGACGAGTGCTTCCTGCCTGAGGGCAAGGTCGTTTGGCAGCTGGGTCCGACGGGGGATTCGTGTCCTGTATCTCTCGAGAGCGGGCATCCAGTCTCCTGGACCAAGGAAGAAAACTACATTTTCAGGCTTTCCCAGTTCCAAGAACCTCTCCAGCGCTGGCTGCGAAACCATCCTCAGGCGATCACCCCGGAGCCCTTCCGTCAGGCCGTCCTTCAGTGGCTGGAGGAGGAGTTGCCTGATCTGTCGGTTTCTCGAAGGAGTAGCCACTTGCACTGGGGCATTCCAGTTCCTGGGGACGATTCACAGACCATCTACGTATGGCTGGATGCCCTAGTCAACTACCTCACCATAATTGGCTACCCAGATGCTGAGTTCAAATCTTGGTGGCCATCCACATCTCATATCATAGGTAAGGATATTCTCAAATTTCATGCTATCTATTGGCCTGCCCTTCTCTTAGGGGCAGGATTGAGACCACCACATCGCATCTATGTCCACTCTCACTGGACGGTGAGTGGCCAAAAGATGTCCAAGAGTTTGGGCAACGTGGTGGATCCCAGGACTTGCCTTGATCGCTATACTGTGGATGGGTTCCGCTACTTTCTTCTTCGGCAGGGCGTTCCCAACTGGGACTGCGACTACTACGATGAAAAGGTGGTTAAGTTGCTGGACTCTGAGCTGGCTGATGCCTTAGGAGGCCTTTTAAACCGATGCACTGCTAGCAGAATAAATCCTTCTGGGATCTACCCTACCTTCTGCACTGCCTGCTTCCCCAGTGAGCCGGGGATTACCAGGCCGTCGACTCGTGCACAGGCAGAAGACTATGCACTTGTGAGCGCAGTGGCCACTTTGCCCAAGCAGGTAGAAGACTACTATGATAATTTTCAGATCTATAAAGCTCTGGAGGCAGTGTCCATCTGTGTTCGTCAAACTAATGGTTTTGTTCAAAGGCATGCACCATGGAAATTGAACTGGGAGAGCCCAGCAGATGCTCCCTGGCTGGGTACCGTGCTTCATGTGGCCTTGGAATGTTTGCGAGTTTTTGGAACTTTGCTCCAGCCTGTTACTCCAAGCCTAGCAGATAAGTTGTTGTCCAGGCTGGGAGTGTCAGCCACAGAGAGAAGCCTTGGAGAGCTCTACTTCCTGCCTCGATTCTATGGACATCCAAGCCCCTTTGAAGGGAGGAAGTTGGGACCTGAAACTGGGCTTTTGTTTCCAAGACTGGACCAATCCCGGGCTTGGCTAGTGAAAGCACACAGGACCTAGAAATTTAGCTCTTAAACTGGCTTGTAAAAGAACAAATTATTGGGGCTGGAGAGATGGCTCAGCGGTTAAGAGCACTGTTTTTGCAGAGAACCGGGGTTCGAGTCCCAGCACTGACATGGCGGCTATGAACCGTCCTTAACTCCAGTTCCAGGGGAATCTGAAGCCCTCGTCTGACCTCGGCAGCACCGTACGACACGGGTGCACTCACATACATGCAGGCAATACACTCATACACATAAAATAAAATAAAAAAAATATAAAAAAATTAAAAAAGGAAATTATTGATTTTACATTTTCAAGAAAGTTGTATTCGTGTTTAGAAAGTGTATCAGATGCACACATGAACTGTGTCCCTGTGAAAGGTTCTTGCCACTCCCAGGCATAACCCCTCCTCATATCTCTGTGTCCCTTAACCACTGTTTTTTGTTCCCCAGAGTCTCCAAGGGAAAAAGGTGGTTGAGAGACATCTTACTGATGCTGTTCCTTCTCATCGTACCTTTTCCCAAACTATAGTTATTTGTCCAAACTACCTCTCATAGCCTCTGCTTCCCAGCCTTAATAGTACAGCCCCTCCTTGACTGAAACTAGGCTTGGAAGTCCCCACCCTCAGATTTCACAGGCTAGTCCTACATGTTATACATCTTGGGCCTCCAGTTAAAAAGAAATTCTTTTATTACAACTTTAAAAACCAGTGTCCTAGACTATTTATGATTTTTGCCCATGTTCATCCTCATTCTTTAAATTCTTAGTTAGAATTCCCTTTGCTGATTAGTCCAGCATTTGTGCTTTGTAATATTACACTTCAACCAGTAGATGGCTCTGGTCTTACACATTTGACTATGTAAGAGTGGGTTCAGAATATTTAAATTTCAGCTTTCTAATTCACAGATCTTTAGAATTTTATCCTTTTTCTTAAGGAATAACTATCTGAAACCACTGCTGTTTTAACGATGCAAAGGTCCTAGAATTCTCATTTTAAAACTACTGAAAATGACATTTACAATAAGCTAGTAAGTAAATGTATCAGGTTGTTTATATTAAAACTATAAAGCTCTTGAGGTACCTAGTATATGACAGATGTAAATTTTAATAACCGGCTACAAGTATAATTAATCTGTAAAACCCTCGAGAGAGTAGTATTCTCTTTGTATTTATAGTTCTAATTTTGTTATTCATATACATAACTTACCTCATATAATTTCTTTTGGTTAATCAGGGTCTATACTGTAATGTAGACATTGTATAATAATTGCTATGTTAATATATTGATATTGAAGCAGTTTTTGCTGATTCTTTTTTTAAAATTTGAAACAAGGTCTCACTGTGTAGTCCAAGCTTGCCTTAAACTTGCCAGCCTCCTGCCTCAGTCTTTTAAGTGTTTAATTATAGGGTGTGCCACCATGCCTGGCTTTTCTTTTAACTTATTAAAATTTGAAAGTTTGTATGTACCTTATTTAGATCTGTTTGGTTGCATTTATTGAAGATAATGGTGAAGGGAGAAAATCTGTTCAGGAATCTCAAACTGGATTCAGGAATTTCTCCAAGGCTCCATTCAGAGAAGATATTAAGGTAACAGTTTATTCAGTAAGTATAATAAAGCCAGTGTTTTATCTCATAGGTGACTGGACAGTTAGGCCAGAGTTTAAAATGTGAGGTTGCACACCTGGTGTGGTGGTGCATACCTTTAATCCCCAGTACTCAGGTGACAGAGGCAGGCAGATCTCTGTGAGTTCAAGGCTAGCCTGGTCTACATAGTGAGTTCCAGGCCAGCTGGGGCTACAGGGAGACCCTGTTTAAAAAAGATATAAACAACAACAACAACAACAACAACAACAAAAAACCCAAGAAAGGACAATGGGAGGTTGCTCTGGAACAATTGTTCTAAGTATGGTACCAAGCAGAAAGGGCTGACTATGAAGTAAATAAACAATTGTGCTGGCAGTTTCCCCAGATTGATTCTAAGTGCCACCATAGCACCAGCTTATTAATTAGCAAAGTGACAGATTTTAGGTTGCTAGGAAACATTGCTTGGAAAAGAATGCTTGAAGGCATTCTGAAGGTGGATATACCATTTCTACAAGTAGTCCTAGCATCATTCTGGATTTTCCATCATTCCAGGCTTCCATGTGACATATTCTAGTTATTTCTGGGTTCAATAGGGCAGACTTCTGGGGTATAGGACACAGTATCTCCTGTTTCCTGAAAGGTGGTATGTTTCCACAAAAGGAAAACATTAGGAAACCAGTAAGACTCTAACCTTTTCCTTGGAAATGCTCTTACTGCAGTGTTTTAGCTCCTGCCATGGACCCACAGGATCTTGCACTTGGGTGGTCTTCCATGTGTCCCACTGGAGCTTAGCTTGCTGGGGGGTGTGTTAATGGAGTTGTTTTTTGCAGATTGTTATTTGTGAATGCATTTCCGTAGCTACCAGGCACAAGGAAGTAGAAAACCAGAAAGGAGGAGGCATAATTGTAGACAATAGGATATTTTGAATGGAAGAGTTTGGTAAATTGAATCTGATTTCTGTGGTGACACAGGTTACCCAGTCAGATTTTCTGTAGTCAGCACAATAGGTAGAACAGTCTTTGTGTACTTAGTTGTATTGAGTTTGATACAAGTTTAAAAATGGTAAGTGGGGAGTTACATTTAACTGGAGTGTGTACTTCCAAGAGGGGGCATCTTACCTACTGGAAGAGGATAACATGGGGAGCTCTTCAGAATCCACCATTCTAGAACTGTATTTGCATCTTGTGGATCCTTTTTCAATGAAGGATTTTTTTTTCAAAGTACTACGTGATTCTCAAATATTAATTTTTGTATATTCTTGGAAGCAGTGTTGTAGGAAGTGACCGGACTGCCTAGGTCAGGTTTTCATGGGCTGTTACATTAGGAAAATAATAAGATGGGGGCTGGAGATACAGCTCAGTGGTAGCGAGCCTAGCATGAAGAGGCCTGGGTTCAATCTCCAGTACTGCCAAACAAGTAAAAATCAGAGATCTTTTGAGATGTCAGCTCTCTAGACTTCTGTGAAGTCATGTAAGTAGTGAGTAATGTATATATTAAATACTATTGTATTTACTATGTATTTAATATATATATAGGCCTGTTCCACAGGCAAACTCAGTTTAAGTATGTTACAATTTAGAAAACCTATGGCTTCAGAAGCAAGAGTAGATATAATTTCTGACTATTGAAACCTCAGTTGTTTTAGAAGTAGAACTTATGGACTTCATAGAGGTTGTGAACAAGCTAATTATGTTGAATATGGATGCCATAGACTGGAAGATGGGTCCTTGAGCCGAAGGTTGTACCTGTGATTGGGATGTAGGTTTTTTTTTTTTTTTTGGTCTCCTTGAGACGGTCTCCACGTAGCCCCAGCAGGCCTGAAACTCACTATATAGACTAGGTTGGCCTTGAACTCAATAGAGATCTGCCTGCCTCTGCCTCTGCCTCCCCTGTGCTGGAATTACAGGCGTGGGCCTGATGGGATATAGTTCTTTACCTCTAAGAACTTCTGAAAATAGAGTGTGGTAGTTGGCCAGGCTGTAGGCCTCCAAAGATGACCCACGAAGTAGTAGTTGGTGATATTACCAAGATTATGGTGGTAGTAGCTTCACGGATCTTTGCTCTACCTCTCCCCAAGTAGGTAATAGCAGTGTAACCTTGAGTTATGGGGGAGGCCAGACCTCTTAGATAGGATGTGGTCATTGAAGCTGCTTTATGATCATTTATAATTGCCTCCTCAAGGCAGTTTCCTGGCATCTTTAGTTTTGTCAGCTGAAGAGAACTCTTATTTTTTGAGACAAGGTAGCTCAATCAAGCCTAGAATTTGCTATGTAGACCAGGTTTATATTTTTACTTATATTTTCATGATGAGGGATAGGAACTATATACCAAGAGGATCTTCCTGTGTGCCTGACAACTAGAAATAGTATACTCTTTGCTGTTGCTTAGTGTAAGGCAGTATTATAGAAGGAAACTGTAATACTTAAACAACGATAACTATTGAAAATACAGTTATTTGTATGAAAGATAATGCTTGGATTTTCATGCCATTTTTAAAGAAAGATTTTTGTTTTGGCTTGGATTGTAAAGGAAACATTTTTAGCATCCACTATGACACTGTTCTGACCTAGCATAAAATATAGAAAAATGGTTAGTTAATCCTCGAGAAAGGAAAATTTTTCTTATTTAAATACTGTCCATATAAAACCAGTCTCTAGAAGGTAATTAATTCATATCAAATTTTGAATAAGATTTTTTTTTTGTCTTTTCGAAGCAGGGTCTCCCTGTAGCCCCAGGTGTCCTGGAACTCACTATGTAGACCAGCTGGCCTTGAACTCACAGATCCGCCTGCCTCTGCCTCCCAAGTGCTGGGACTACAGGTGCCACCACACCTGGCTCTGAATAAGATATTTTTATCAGATGCAACAGATTTCACAAATTAGTTTTCTAGCCTAAAAAGAAAACATAGCACTTCTTTTTCTATAATCCATGGAGGTCATCTAAAAGTGAAACTCTCAGCTCTGGGGCATAGAAACCATATAAATGTGTAATTGTATAGCCGAATGAATGTAAGCGTCAGGGAACCAATGTAATTGCAGATGGAAAAACAAGAGTAGTGAAAACTTGCTGCTTAACCCCTTCAGGTAATGAGAAGGGAGCTAGACATGTGAAGGTATGGAAATCTGAGCTCAATAGCTTGGAAAAACAGATTATCCATGCAGCCAGGACACAGACATAAAAAGCTCTTTGGTAAACACAGGATTTTTGCTGAGTTTCATTTTTCTTTTGACATAGACAATATTAGGATATTAATGTTTTGTAGTTGAAAGCAGTTTTCAAAGTTTGAAGTAGCCTGAATAAAATAATACTAAAACTACTAATCAGCATTTGAGTATTTACAAAAGGCAAACAAAATATATTTTAATATCCTTTAAAATTAGTTTGCACAATAGGTTAAATATTAAAGATTTTAGGACATTTCTTTTACATGTCATTATAAATGTTATATGAATGGATACTATATAACTTTCTTTGTTTTGATATCAAAGATATGTTAAAAACAAAGATCCTAATATGATTAGTAAGGAACACACTATATTAAATCTCATTTCAAATGTTAATGCACACTTTAAAATTATTCTTTAGGTGTTT